TTACATTAGGAAGTAAACGGCCTTCACTTGTCATACCTTTAAATAATTGATTTGTTAAATGACTTCTGACAATGTTAATTCTTTTGTTCAACATTTTGTAAATAATCATGTTATTTTGTTTTCAGTCTCGTCTTTGATCTGAAATCATTAAAATCTTAAATCAATAATCTGGTCTCTTAGGCAGACAACACCATCTTGCATAGTTTCATTCCATTTTATCTATTCAGTGGTATTCCTTACTTTTATTTCAATAACCAAAAATTCACTCATAGTACCACAAAATCGTAATTTATATCTGATATTACAGGATGAAAAGTCCAAATTAGATTGATTTACTCATTATGATTTTTGGTCAACATTACTTCAGCTTTAATTCAATGTAATAATTACTCAGCATAGTATTTATTTTGTTTTCCCATATGACTCTTTATTCTGTATAATGTACGATATTATTGCATTCAATTGACCTGAACTATGCTCAACATGACATGCGGCATGTGATTTGTCATAGCTGTAAGTATTGTTCATATATGTCATTTTATTCTAATTATCAATCAAACTGGGTGTATGAATCAATATATAAATGAGTGTATTTTTGACTATGGTCGTCTTCGTCGTGTTTTGGGGTTAACAAATCTTCACTTATACCAGTCTTTGTGTTCGTAATTTCGCGTCATGGGAACTGTAGTTTTTCCTCGCCTTATAATTATAAGTGATAAACGATTGCGACGATAGATATAACAATTGGTGACGCAGTCATAACAGTCGACCACCAGTCATAACAATATCAAATATGTTAACTCTATGAAGGAAACACTTAGACTTTGGAAGTTACAACCCAGATAAATAGATTGTGAAGATTTGTTGAAATAGGAGACATTTTTCATTACAGAATAATGTGAACTGCATCGCTATTAAAAATGAATTAGAATCAGATTAGTGCGTTTAACATATTTCGCGAGTGTTCTTCATATCACGCTTACTACGATACATGTAAACGAGCCTATAGCATTTCTGTCCTTTAGCAAGAATATTCATATAGATTATTGAATACAAATCCAGTGATTTATATTCTTGATTTTAATCAGTTATCAATATAGGTAGATCATCAAGCGGACACTGATGCTAGCAGTCTGACGTTAAAGGTACATCAGCTCTATAGTTACTGCTTCCCACTAGAACACGTCATGTATTTTTCGCAAAGTAAGTCTTACATAATATATACATAAATATTTGATTTCTTAATATTTATCCAATTTCAAAACGGTTCTTATCATCAACACCAGTCTAAATATTATTTTATGATAGTTTTCTTTAAAATGTTCATAACCTTTAAGTAGTAAGACTATTATAATAAACAATAAATTCTTTTATCTAAAGTAACTTGACTATTTCGTTAAAGCATACGTACAACATGTGAATTACACTTTTTCTGTTGGAAGTCGAAATGTAATTAAGAATTTTCTTGATCACTAAAATGTCGATATCTAATCAGGATTAATGGAAAGTAATTAGAACCAACCTAATCGTTCTGTTATGGAATATATGTTATAGAACTGTATAGAATTTAGCCCTACACAACTTAATTTTACTCTAATTATACAAAGTTGTGTCGTTTAACCTCATACAAAATATATACTCTAACAACAAGTGAATGAATATGCATTCGACTGATTAGTTCCATTGAATACCTGTATTACTCATTTAAGAAATTTTGCTGTAAATTTTAAAAAATCTAGCTTTAAATTATATGAGATTAATTTCAGTGGTTAAGATCATGAGTCAGTTGAAGCTAGACCACCATGGAAAACGTGGAAACACTGGACGGCCGTTTCGTCCTATTGTGAGATTAGTTACAGCTTCTAGATAACAAATAACTTTAAGTGACCATATCTACCCTAGCTCACTTTGTATACAGCTGAAGGGAAAAAGAAGCAAATAATACAAAAACAAAAAACAAACTAGTTAAGGTTGTCAAACAAAATTAGCTATCTAGTGTTAAGTTTTCAAACCTCCATAAATTCACCCTTATAATGTAAAAATAACTCAAATTTTATTAAATAGCAAAGTCATGTGCATCTGACTCATGCAATCATTTAACCGGTTCCAATGAATTATTATTATTTCTTAAATAACATTGGCATTTCAAAGTTATTCATCATATTTTCAAGGGATTTTTTGTTGTTTCTATGCTTAATTATTATTGATAATAATAAAATATGTGTTTATTTAGTTATTTAAACAGAATAAACAACAAACTTTAGTCAGTATATAAGATTTGGCAAAATGAGATAAAGCGTAAAATGATATTATCAGACTAAAAATATATCTTGTATATTAGTTATTTTTGGCGCGATATACTTTCTTGTATTAGAAGGTTTATAATAGGTAAATGTACAGACCAAATCAAATCATACATAACAAGATATAAATAAATGTTGAACTATGAATTCACCTAAATTTTGTTGTTTGTATTTTAAACCAAAATACTCATTGAGACATAAGTGGTTGAATAAATATGTATTCTTTCAGTGAGTTCATTATAATAATTTCAATTACGTAATGAAGATAAAAATGCATCCATTAAGTTTGAGGTGTTTCAAATTCATTGTGATGATGAATTTGTTTGTTTCAATTGAATAATCAGTTTTTACAATATTTTCTATTATTAGATTCCTTATATGCCAACCTATCGCGCATTTTTAATTTTTATCCACTCCAAGTGAGTTCAAGAATACTCTCATCCGTGGTTGTGTAGGGGCAACACCTCATATAAAGGAAGTACACAAATAGAAAAATCAGTGAACATTAATCATCCGATTGAGTCAAACTAAACATTCGTAACAACCTATGTAGTGAATGCGCAACTATTGGAACCAGAGAATTTCCTTTTCTTTTCTCTCATGATAATAATAATATAATAATAATATTAATAATAATTGCCCTATTCAGCACCTAAGTTTGATTAAAGTGGATAGCTTGCAGCACAAATCATGCAATATCCTAACTTATATTTACTGAACTTCACTTCCGCAATATCATGTTAAACAGTTTAGTTCTGTAACTATGATTCTTTGTCTAGTCTCTATGCCAGTTTTGAATTATCATTTGAGGTCCTGTAGCAGTCGCGTTGCTAGCCTTTACACACATAAAATGCCTATTGTGTTTTAAATAATTTGTTATCCTGATCGAGCCATTATTATCAAATATACGTTGTTATTTTAAAGTTGTAAATATATTTGCGAATGCAGAAACTCAATATTTAGATCCCCAGAAAGCTATGTTTCTTTCCTAAACCATGCTATTTTGCTTAAAATTCCATTTTTGAATAACAAAACTCCACTAGGCGACAAAAATAGATTTATCTCATTTTTCAATGGATGTAATCTGTTTGTTTGGTAGTTTTGGGTAAATTTGCATTTTAAAATGCAGAATTAGTTGATGATAGACCACACTGTTTCTCATATTAGAACCAAATCATTACTAGTTTTTATTTTAAACCTTACAACTTGTTAAACTGAGCATCATTTAGTGAATAAATAGGAGGACAACAACTTGTCTTCTGCTCTTAACTGCATTAATACACATTTAAACTTAGTTTATACTACTACAGAAAAAGTGTTACATCCGTGACTAATGAATTCGTTAGATCCATGGAACAACTAAACGTAAAATAACAACATACTATTACCTGGGAGTCTTAATAATAGCTTTAGTGTTGACTTCACCTGAAAAGTATTTTTTACGGGATGTATAAATAAACAATTTATGGGGGATTATTTTCTTTTTGCTTGTAAATGTTGTATATATATAAAGTTCCATACTTTTAAGCACAAAAGCAGGGTGTAAAATGTAAAGGTATTCACTGCTTTTGTTAGTCACAATAGCTCTTGACTAAAGCCTGAAAGCAATGATTTTAGGAAAAATAGTAGGTAGCGTTCACGTTCGTATGATTATTGTTGAATATCGTTTGTCTTCAAGCAGACAGAGTGACAAGTACGAACCTAGGTTGTAAAGTATCACTATTGGCCGGATAAGTACTTCAAAAGGACCCACTTACCGGGAGTTTCAAAAGCAATGTCTTTGTTAAAGCTCAGAAGAGAATACAAAACTTATATGGGTCTTTCATATATACAAAGCGAGAGCTTTCTCATAAGCTAACGATAATTAATAAGAAACGACATAGTTTCAAAGAAATGTACTCAAACGACAACCATTTTTCTGGGCAAACGCCGAAGAGATCCCTTAACTAGCACCTCATGAACTTTTGTCAATAATCAGGTGGGAAATACATATAACTTATTTTGATTTGTAATTTTAGAGAACATAATAATCATGATACACATTTCTGACACTAAAGAATACACCTATGTCGTATAAAAAAGAACCAACACGATAACATCTGGCGCAATGGATACGTCAACAATAATCAGCCTACAGAAGTTAACTAGGCTTCCGACTCACTAATAACTAAAACTACATAGACGGTTTATTTTCAAGATATGCGATATTAAGGTCAACGACTTCTCTAAGACCTTATAAAGAAAAAACACACCATTCAATGAGACGATCTAGCAATGCAGCGAAAAATGAATAAATAACAGGTTAATTTTTGAGTTAAGTTTAAATTATCACTGATGAAACAGTGATACCTTTCCAACGTTCACTACCAGTCCATACAGAGATGTGCGATGACACGTTATGAGATATTTTTATATTACTTTATGTAAATTAGATCATTTAAACAGTGGTCTCGTTAAATATACTTTTGTATATGTGGTGTTGAGAATAATAACGGACGTTTTGGACACTTTATTTTTAGCGAAAATATTCCTAAATATATCTTTTCCAGATTTTCACTTTCAACAAATCCTTTATGTAAACTTCCAAATAGGAATCAGCAGAGAATAAATAGATTTCACGAAAAACATTAATGATTCGAATTTATCATAAACCAAAACAAACTTCATGTTATTAAGAGTGAAACCTTCAAGATTTACCCGCATTTCCTTTCACTTCGACTGAGAAATTGTGGTCTTTAACGTGTAAAGTTTGGTTTTGAAGTCCATTTAAGTCCACATTTATCGGAGCCAGTGATTCGTCAAGCCTCATTGACATTGTGTTTAAGTTGATTGGGGATTGCTTTGTTCCTCCAGCATTAGGAAATCGTAACACCCATGTATGAGGGCCTTAACATGTAGTTAAAGTAGAAAAACTGTTACCATTTTTCTCTCCATAGTCATATGACATCTTTTGTGCTTAACGTGCGAGACGTTTTCGGGAACGAAAAGCCATACTAACCTATAGCTTATTAAATACGTCCAAAATGACCTTGTAATAGAAATAGCTGACTAAAACGCAACAGGGGTTATTCTCATTTCGGCATGAAGAATACGTTAAGCTTTGGGTTCTTTTCCCATGTCAAGTGTTATCGAGTATTTTGAATATCTCTGTTTATAAGCTGTGAACAGCATTTTTGTCGCCACTTGTCAATTTTCGTGTTTGTGATTATTACATAGCTTCAATCCCAGTTTATTAGTATTTTGATAAAGTTACTGTTAACTATCTGGGTGGATGATGAGCCAGGTTTGATGTGGCTATTTGTATTGGTCTGAATTCAAGTAAGTGAAGTACACTAATTGACACTGATAGCCGGGTACTAACATGGTAATTGTCACAAACAGTTACGCATTAAAACTATCGGTATGCTCCCCATGAAATTACAATGAAGACAAAAATAACAATCATGCAAGAATTTATTGATACCTCATTACTGATGGTAAAGGATGAACAACATTCGCTGAACAAAAACAAGTTTACTAATTCTATGTATAGTTAAGTTAAAGTACAACTGAAAAGACCTTTTTATGGTAAATAGAGTTTCTATCACGTCCCCACACCTTCCTATATTCCGAGATATGATTTCTCCGTAAACTAGACTACACAAAAATAAGCATTGGAGAAACTGGAGTTCTACCAAGTTATTGACGATTCTTAACTAATAGTTGTCGACTTTTCTCCCCACAATCATCACGAACCGCTTACTATATTTATCCACAATCTGTTGTTAGTGTATTTACTGGTTTCTTTAAATCTGTACCTACTGTGTCTTTAGCATGGAGAACGAAACGGTTCTGTTAGTATATATATGTGCTTTCTATCTTCCGTCGACTACAGTGTCTAAGAATATGAATAACTATGGGATTTATACTTCTTAATTGGTTGAGATTACCTTTTAGAGTTCGTCTTCTTATGTATGCCAGAAGCACATGAAGGCAAGTATACTGCGATATAACACACATTGAACAGTTACAATCATAAAAGCTTACATCTACTTTATTAGGCCTGCTGCAATAAGTCATAAACATCAAATCACTGTCTTTGTATTCAAAATAGAAAAGGTACAACCTTTTCAATTTCGATAAAACCTCCCTCCATGGAAAAATAGCAAGCTGGCTAACTATTTGAAGTACTCGTAGCACCTACCGGCTCTAACATGTCTTCACCAGTTACTCTTACCGATGTTATGGGATTCCATCGAAATAACTTGTACATACATTTGTACAAACTATCATTTTTCCGTACATATCTTTTTTGATGGTTCAATGACTTCACACAATTATTGGTGTTGTTAACAAAAGTCAAAACATATGCACTGAGCGCTGCGGCCCACAGTGTTTTACAAGACATCCAATACCTAGAAACATACTATCCGATTCGCATGACCGTTTGATAAATCATTTTAAAACACCGATTCGCTCTACAAAATAAATACATTTCAAGCAATCACTCCAACAGTTTCGGCAGTTACTATTTCTCTGAAGTAATTGCTTACTTACGCCTGTTATCCCTCATGGAGGAGCATGGGCCACCCACCATCTTTCCCCATCCAACCCTGTCCTGGAAAACCCTTTCCACTTGGTCCTAGTTACTATTCATTCTTTTGATTTCTGCACCCAATTCCCGATGTAATATGTTCCATGGTCTTTCTCTTCCCCTTCAAGATTTCAAGTTAGCGTCTGCCTCCTGATACAGTTTGGTGATTTAGGTAATATATGTCCTATCTACTTCCAATGCCTTCTTTTAATTTCCTCTAAAGCTGGAAGTTGGTTTGTTCTATCCCACAGTAGGCTGTTGCTGATGGTGTCTGGTCAACGGATATTGTGTATCTTGCGCAGACAATTGTTCATAAATACCTCTACCTTTTTGGTGATGGTTGAGGTAGTTCTCCACGCTTCAGCGTTATATAGTAGGGCTGTCTTGATGTTCGTATCAAAGATTCTGAATTTGATATTGGTTGAGAGTTGTTTTGAGTTCCACATGTCCTTGAACTGTAGGCATGTGGCCCTTGCTTTGCCAATTCTCATGCTTACGTCCACATTCGATCCTCCTTGGTCATCGATCGTTTTGCCCAGGTACGTAAGCGTTTCCACCTCTTTTACAGCTTCACCGTCAATTGTGACTGTATTGGTGTTTTCTGTGTTCTGTTTCAGGATCTTGCTTTTTCCCTTTCGTAGGATAAGGCCTGCTGATGCAGAAGCTGCTGATGTACTATTTGTCTTGACCTGCATTTGTCTATGTGTATGGGAAAGGAGGGCCAGGTAGTCTTTGAAGTCCAAATCACTTACTGGCATCCAACCTGTCCATATTATTACATACTTCGCCTTAGATGTGGAGTTCTTCATAACCCATTCAACCTCCAGAAGAAAGAGAAACGAGGAGAGTAAGCAACCTTGTCTGACACCGGTCGTCTCCTAGGATGTATCTGTCAGCTGTCCTTCATGCAACACTCTGCAGCGTAGTCCATCGTATGAATTCCGTATGATACTGACGATCTTCTTAGGTATAAAGTAGTGCCAAAGAACGTTCCACAACGTTCTCCTATCCAGCTGTCAAACGTATTCTGACAGTCAAGAAAGTTGGCGCATAGTGACGAATTCCATTGAACTGATCGCTTAACAGTGATCTGTAACAACTTGGGTTTATTATTTAAGAGTTGACCTCAAACAACCGAGTATATGTCAAAACAAAAGAGCTCAAGTATTCATTCAGTTCCTTATTTCGTATAGGCATTACATTCCCTGTTATCTTATATCCAGTGTTGAAAATCTTTGTGTGTCTGAACAGGTTGTAAGATTCATTTTGAATGTTTTGTGTGTGAAAATCCCTCCACGTATACACTTGTAGTTTGTTCCTATTGATTTCTTTAGTTGTACATTTTGTTGGTCTTTTTGATTCTATTTGAAATGTTAATATTTGTATTTTATTATAAGTTTTATTTTTCTTACGCCTTCACTAAGTTTCCATGTTTTTTCCTGAACTTCATTTATGTTGTTCTACTTGGTGCTAAGTCTTGGCAGCAGCCATATTGGTTTGTTCCTCCTTTTCATTGTGTTGCTTGCAGTGACTGGAATTGTGCATTTTTGATTGTGAATTGAAGCACTTTTCCAGAATTAGAAACTCTCTGTGTTATAAAGCGATCAAATATTATCTTTAGAAAGAATCTGTGCGTGGTCTATCCAAACAGGAAATAATGACATTTATTTGTTGTGATTGGTAATTTTCTCGCATCCTTTATCAACCTCCGTATTTATTGTAATTTAGATTTGATCAATTGAACAATTATTGGTTGGATAGCTGGGTGGTTGTATTTGTTTAGATAACAATTTACATTTACATTTATATTGAGTCTCAGAACCGTCATTTTACCCAACCACTGTTTTGGTTTCGACTGGGCGAGGGTGCGTATCTAACCCACCTAGACAGTTGCTCTTCAGTCCAAACCTTAGTCTGAATTTATCACAGATAACCTCCCGCTCCACTGTCATTAGTTAGAGACTCAATTTTGATGTTTGCGTCGATTGATCCGCGTTGTGTACATTACTCTATCTATCTGTCTATCTGGTGTTGTCTTGAGCTTTTTTAGAATTATTTTGCTTAAAACGAAATTTCTGACTAACTACTAACCTGTAAATTTGCACCACTTAATCCGGTATTCGTGTTTGTAGTTGTCGTGTGTGTAATAGTTGCAATACTTTTGTTGTGCATGTTACATAATAGACCAAAACATGAAATAGGACACAGTTTGCGGAAGAAATGCACCTATGAACTTTAAAGGTGAAATATGATAAGGATAAGTGAACATATGCTACATGAGAACAGAAGTAAAAACGTACTGCGTATACAATTTAATACGTATATTCGTGAAACAATTAAAATAAGTGGGAATATATGTATTATAAAATGAATTAAAAAGTGAGTCATTAATGCAATTATACTGGATGGCAGAATATTAGTTCATGAAGTAATGGTTAAGAATGATGCGATGAAAAGTTTAGTTATTTGCAAAGAATTCCATCAGCCATCAATTATTATGGGTCATATATATGTGCTAAACATGAAAAGAACTTGAAAACTTAATCAGTTTTGGTGTAAAAAAACATACTGTGTTTTTATTAATAAAATTTACATAGGTAAATGTAAGACATACATTAAGGTAAAAGTGAGAGGAAAAATTATTCAAAGTCCCAAAAGGTCAACGACAGTGATGCTTTGGTTCACACTGACGCATAATTCAGAAATCACTTTCAGAAAATTGCCTCGAAGATGAATAATTCAGTTAGCAACATAATATACACTTTCGTAAGTTCAGTTAAGGAAGAGAGGAATGGAGCACAATTACTCCTAGTCCCAACACTTATAGAAGAAAACAGAAAGTTCTGTGGTAAAGGAAACACAAGCTGTATAAAACTGCATCCCCAATATGTATTGTTCATCTTCAAACTGGGCATTTCCGTGATACTTATCAAAAATAGATCTAAACAGTTTGCTACCATCCTGAACTTTCTGCTCATAGCCTCGTGCTAGGTAAGCTATATTTTTGACCAAGCATGTCTGCGGGCCCGGAATGTGATGTGAAGATATGTCGTCATTCTGAGCTAAAGCTATCCAAATAATTTCTATGCTTGTCTCCTTACCATGGTTGTAATATCGTAAATGCTTGCTAGTACAGCTCTCGATGAATCCCATCGACCCTTGGCTTAATTTATTTCTTGAAGCGATCTGTCTTGGGTTTACATGTCATTAAGATATGCTGCACTGACATAACATCTCATCCAGAGGTGTGAAGACTGGCATAATGAGGATGGATATGGCCACTGAGGTAACGGTTAGCCCTCTAAGACATCTGTCGGATGACATGATTCTGGTATTCGTTAATTAGTCACCTTGAAAATCAATACTTAACACTG